AGTCTACTGAGGGCAGTTAGCATTGTCCTTATATGTATGTGTTTAGTGTTAACTACTTAGGATTGGGGTCTCGTCCCTGAAGAAAACTTTTCCCTCCCTCAGAAGCCATTGACTCCCTGGGGGCCTTGCAAGATCTTCCTCCATCCATGTTGTCATGTTGACTGGTGTGGTCTTTGCAGATCTTATGTGGACAGCCATATTGTTGAGAGTTAAGTGTAACATCTCTGTCCTGTCCAGAAGACACTATCTCACAGCAGGCGTCTTTGTCTTCTGGCTCTTACAATCTTTCTGCCCCCTCTTCTGCAATGTTCTCAGAGCCTTAGGTATAGAGGTTGTGTTGTAGGTGTCCCATTTGGGACCAGGCACCCCATGGTCAGTTATTCTCTGCATTTTGACCAGTTGTAGATCTGTGTAATAGCCTCTGTCTGCTGTAAAAAGAAGTATTTTTGATGATAGACCAGTGAGAGCTGCACTTGTCTATGGATATAATGAGGAGCATTTAAAAGGCAGTTGGAAACTTACTTTAGAAACGTGGCAGTAGGAGGTTCTCCTACAGAGTCTATAAACTCTCCAGCCACAGGGTCTTGGCTAGATTTACAGTACCAGACTTGAGTTCCCTTGAATTGAGTAGGTTTTAGGTCCAGTTGGACAGCTGTTGGTTACCCCCAAGATAGAAATGACATTGCAGTTGTTAAAAATAATGTAAGGGTTTGTTATTTGTATTTCTGTTTGCTTTCTATAGTCTGTATAAGATAATTAAAATCATGTCATTTTTCTATCTTTTTTCCTTTTTTTGAGATAAGGTCTTTCTATGTGGCTCAGGCTGACTTTGAACTTCATATTCTCCTGCATCAGTTACCTGAGTACTGGGATTGCAAGTATGTAGCACCACACATGGCTTATATCATCATCTTTCGAATCTTTTAAGTGCCACTTGGAGTATGTTACTGTTATTTTGTTTTGTTTAAAGAACTGTAGTGACTATTAGCTGTTTTTTAACTTTATGAACATTGCCAAATGTATACAAATAAAAAGTTTAGTAACTTTCAATTGCTATAGCCAGAAACATTACTATTTTTTCTCATTGCCTTTCCTTTTTCCAAGAATTTAAAGCAGAAACAATACATAATTGTATCCCTAAGTTAATGTGCCTCTTAACACGTTTTCTTTCCTAACTGCAATGGTATCAAATACAGCATACCTACAAATAATTCCCTTAGTAGCATAGACAACACCTAATCCATATTCCCCAGTTAAGTCCTTCATAATTCTCTTGTAATCTAAAATAGTTCTTCATGCTTTTATTCATGTCCCATTCTGGTAAGGTTAGCTTGTTTGATTATCCTTTGTCTTTGAAATGGGCTAGAAATTATTATCTATTTGTTTAATTAGGTTTTGTTTTTACTTTTGGAGGTGTGGCCAAGAGCACTTGCTGTCACTTCATCTAATATTACATCTGCAGGCACATAATGTCTAATTTGGTCACTTCTGTCATTATTAGCTAAAATCCGTTTCTGTGGAAGAACCTATATCACTAGTGCTGTTTGCTTAACACAAAATGTCTTCCACTTCATAAGTTGTTAAACTCCTCAGTTGGGGAACTGAAGACTCTGCTTTCATCTTTAACTCCTTGTTTTATTTCACTGTTTATGATAAAGTAATTTTCTTCCTTCTGGGGGAAGTTAAAAGTCATTCCTTGGTGGTGTGGTGATTTAGTGATTTCATGGATTGGGAGATTTCATGCTCCCTATAGGGGAGCGTCTCCTAGTTCTGAGTGAGTAGTCCTAATTCTATTGAGATTCAGTGGCAGATGAAAAATAAAAAAGGAGGAAAGAAAGACCTTACACCAATTTCACTACTGCTGGCTTGCAGTTAGCGTGTGGTGCTTACTTGAGCTGTGAGAATTCACACAGTCCTGTACTTTACCAGAGACTAATCAGTCTCACTATGGACTCATGTAAATTTTAAAGATCCAAGGCCCTAAAAGGGCTTCAGCACAGGTTTGTAACCAAATGCATTAAATGTTAATGACTCCTTTATCTTGGGAAGCCGCAGGGACCCCCTGATGGTTTACTCTTGCTAGCTTTCTCCAAAGGCAGAATTTCAGCCAAAGCTTTTTGCCACTGCTATTTGGATCTGTGCCTTGGGCTTTAGAGGTGATTGGGGAGAGCAGCCTGGCGCAGGCAGCTGGGGAAACTTTCTTTAGCATTGATTGAGCATAAACTTCATTCACTAAAATTCCGTGGACTCAAATGACTGTTTACATTTTCATGATCTTTCACTTGTACACTGTAATTGGTTCATGCTCCTTTTTAAAGCCTTTCACTGTTTGTTGGATCTTACCTCTTTGCTTTTTGTTATTTTTTTAGGACAGTGCTGTGAGCCCTTCAAGGTTTTTCACCGAGTTGTAGTAAAATTGCACAAGGTATCTTAATTGAAGTTTCCCAATTGAAAAATTGGAGGTAAGGAGTTTGTATATCTTTGTTGAAAATGGTTCTTTATTGCTGTTAAGATGTTTCATATTTGTGCCTGTCCCAATATTTTCATATTTGTGCCCTCCCCTTTATGCATTTAAGAGGAAAGCTCTCTGGGTATAGCTGCTTGGGATGCTGAGTTGGAAGGATACCTTGAAAACACAAGATGAAACACTGTGTCAAAGCCAAAGCAAAGAAATAAACCTGAAGAGCAAAAAAAAAATCAAAGGTGACCATTTAGTTTCATTAATTTAGATTTAGACCTTACACCCTGAGCAGCTGCTGCTACCTATTTAGCCCCGAAAAGTACAAGTTCTCCCTATGGCTCAGATCTGTCTTTGAGTGAGTGGAGTATAGAAAACCTACCCCAAGGAATAACTAGCTAGATACAGATAATGTAGATCTTCTCGATTCTCCATTCCATGTTCCGTTACTGAATTGAGCAGCTATTAATGCTAGCATTATTAACAAATAAGGGCATCAGGTTTTAATGATATCGTAGTATGACTTTTCTTACTACTATCCTTACTTAGAGTCTGCTAGATCTGAATCAATAAAGGCTATGTAAAATCTCAGTTTTGAGTACTAGATAGATCATATTTCCACCTTACGAAAATGTTCCTACTCTTTAACATGTTCCCATGTATAATGACATATATAGGTATCTGTTGTGAATTAAACACTGAGCAAGATGCTCTGAGGCCTGTTTAACCATACAGCCTTTTAAGCCAGTTTTAAAACCCCTCTTTAACTTATTTTCTTGTGTAACTAAGGGCTTGTATCTGGGTAACATTCAGTGTTTGTCTGCTTTAGCAGTATTAACATCTTGGACTAGGTGATTGTTGTCAGGGACTGTCCTGTGTGCTGTGAGGCGTTAGGGAGCATTCCTGGCCTCTGCCTGCCAGATGTCAGTAAAACCTCCTCACTATGACAACTAAAAGTGGTTCTAGGCATTGTCAAGTGTCTCTTTAAAAAAAAAAAGGTGATGTGTGTGTGTGTGTGTGTGTGTGTGTGTGTGTGTGTGTATGTTTGCGTGTGCGTGTGCATGTGCATGCGAGCATGGATGTGCACTCAGGAGTCCTATGGGACCCTTGTGGAGGTCAGAAGATAAAGTTTAGGAGTCAGTTCTTTGACTTTCTGCCAAGGGTACAGGTCCTGTGGCAAGGGCTCTTAACTATTGAGCCATCTTGCTGGCCTGCTAAATGCCTTTTGCAAGGGAGAATTGGCCTCCGTTGAGAACCACTGGCATAGATGATGTGTTAGAGCCTTCCAACTTTATAATTACGTTATACAGCAAAACAAAACAGACCTACCCTTCACAGTCAACTTAAATGCCATTTCATTTGTGATGCTTTCTTCAGTTTCCTTCTTTTTGCCTTACTTTAAACACTTACACCTTTTCCTGGCTACTGTAGACTTTCACCCCACTCTGTTTGTAGCTTCCTGGGTGCTTTTCTTATTTTGAGGATATGAGCCCTTTGTATTTTTAAGCTCAGAATATCATCACATTAGAAATTGTTAAAGAAACGATTTTGCTGTTTTTGTTAACCTTTCAAAACCATCCACTATGAGATTCCCACTGAACTTGAATTTCTGGTTAATGAGACTGATTATTAAAAAATGTTTTGTAAATGAATTAGAAGACAGATGACTCCTGTGCATATGTGAGAGAACTGCAGGAAAGCCGCAGGGATTCACATAAGCTCTTCTAGTTTTCATATCCATGTTTTTGTTGTTGTTTCTCTAAAGACATTTTTATTATACTTACTTATTTTGTGTGTTCATATATGTCACATTGTGCATGTAGAGGTGAGAGGGAAACTTGAAGGAGTCACTTCTCTCCTTCTACCATGTGGGTTCCAGGGATTGAATTCAGGTCATCAGGCTTGGCAGCAAGCACCTTCAGCCACTGAACCATCTCGCTGACCCAAAGAAGTTTTTAAATCAATTATAAAGGGTTACTATTTTTATTTTATGTGTATGAGTATAATGCCTGCATGTATGTAAGTGCACCCATGTCCCATGGTGCCCATGGAGGTTGGAAGATGGCATTGGATTCCCTTAGATCTGGAGTTAGGGACAGTAGTTAGCTGCCATGTGGGTGCTGGGAATTGAACCCAGGTCCTCTGCAAGAGTAGTCAATGCTCCAAACCAATGAGTCATCTCTCCATCCTCCAATAATAAACACGCATATTTATGATCTAGTACATACACATATATCTGAAACAGGTTTTTAATTTAGTATTTATTGATTTGCGTTGTACTTTGATATTTTCTTTTATATTTGTTTTTTTTAAAAGAATGGCCATTACCTGGTACATCTTTATAATATAATAATATGGAGCTAATTTGCCTCTGGAATATGTTGCCAATAGGTTGCCTTGAATTTTTTAAAAATAATATCATTTAGGAATTGAGCCAACAAAGACATTAGTGTATATTAGCCAAAGCCTATTAGATTTGCAATTGCTTTAAGGTCTTATATTTTCTCATTTCTACTGAATATTTAGTATGCATAAAGGAGCATGTCTTCCTGTTGTTCAAGATTTATATTGATAAAACCTAAGAAATAATAAAAAGTTAGCAAAAATTATTTGAAGTTCTGAAAGTGATAATAAACACGCAGTGACTTATAAACATTTCAAAGTGACTTATAAGCATTTCAAAAGAGAAGCAAGCTGTGCTGACTGAAGTTCATGATAGGATAATGTGATCGTGGTAGCTTTTGTATTATGTCAGAGGGTATTATAGATGGTACAAACAGCAATAAGGTAGGTAAACAGTCCTTACTGATCATACTTAGTGATCATTTTTATTCAAGATAAAGTGATAAATTAACAAAAAGTATAGCAAAGTGCTGAAAGTATGTTCAAAACAGGATATGATACTTTAATTCTATGGTTATAAAATAAAGTTTTCTCAGGAGCTGAATCAGAAACTTGTATGTATGATAGCTCTGAAATAACCTGACATTTGTCTTAACATGATAATGTTAACATCAAATTACTTGGTTTACTGAGAATGCAGATAATCTCTAAATAATGAAAAGTGTTCATTTGCCAAAATAAGTGACAAAGATTGCTGTTCTGTATATAAACTGCTATTACAGAAGAGAAACATTTTATATGATAGAATTTCTAAAAATTAAATATTTCAACTATGCAATTAAAAACTATATGTGTACATCATAGGCCTAGGTTTCCTTTTTGAAATAAAATGATAACTCAGGATGATAAGTTACAACCAGGTACATCACATCTTAAGAAAATAAGCATTAGGGGTTGGGTATCGTAGGGCACACCTTTAGTCAGGAGGCAGACACAGGCAGATCTCTGTGAGATTGAGGCCAGTATGGTCTACATAGTTCCAGACCACCTGGGGCTACAGGGAGACCCTGGCTCAAAAAAACAAAAACCAGAACAAAGAAAATAAGCAATAGATTATGTACTTGTCTTTTTCAACTGTGACGTCTATGGAATAATGTACGATTGACTATAGAAGATATATTTTGATCTAAAATGATGAGTCAGCTTGTGATGCTACTTGGCAAAGAGCCACCTGCCCTAACAGTGCAGTCTAGCATCCTGTCTGCGGTTCCTTGATGTCAAATAGTTGTCATTGCCTGTGTTCATTGGGAAGTTAGCAGAAGTATAACTTTCTTCATTTTCACAGATTCCTAGACTACTGAGAAGAAGGTGCTTTCAGAGTTGGAGATGTGAATAAAATACTCTGTTCCAGAACGCATAGACTACATTGAGGTATCTTTTTTTTTTCTGTCTTTTTAAGATTCTTATGAGAGTCTTTGTATTAATTCTTTGAGAATTTCATACTATGTATTTTTATCATATTCACCTTTAACGTCTCCCAGATCTGTCCCCAGCTCTCTCACCCCTTCATTCATTAATTATTTATTTAATATATTTTTATTGAGCTTTTGTACATTTCATACAACAGTTCTTAATCAAGTTTAGACCCCCTCCCCCCATCAGTACCCTCCAAACCTCTACTGGGCCCCATGCATTCTGTTATACATGCCAATTCCCATCTGGTCAAGCATTTTATCCAGATGTCCCTCAGTGCAAGCCCACCCACTGGAGTCTATTCACCCCACCTAGGGATTTTAAGGAAGGTCAGCTCTCTATCACCCAGCAGCAGTTAGTCTCCAACAGTTCCCAGACCAGGGCTATCCCACCTGGCCCATTTCCCTCTCTCTACTCAGGGCCCTTGTCTGATTGAGTTGGAATGGGTCTTGTGCTCAATGCCACCATTGCCACAAGTTCACATGAGCAAGCTTCCAGTGGCCTAAAAGCCAGTTTCCCCATGTTTGTGGACCAACCCTGGCTCTTACAATCTTTTTGCCCCCTCTTCTGCAATGGTCCCTGAGCCGTGGGTGGGTGAGGTTTAATATAGGAGTCTAATCCAGGTACACACACTCTGCAGTCTCTTATTCTCTTAAACTTAACCAGTTGTGGCCTTCTGTGTGCATCACACTCTGTTATATATGGAATCTTCACTGATAAGAGTTGAGGGATATACTGGTATTCTCTCTACTCCCTGTTCCGCCATATTCCGCAAGCTTTAGTTGTAGAGGTTCCACTGTAGATATGTAACCTAGGACGGGGCATCTCTCAGATGTATATTCTCTGTGTGTGATCCGTTGTAGAACTCTGTAATAGCTTCTCTCTGTGTCCGATCCAAGGACACACACTCTGCACTTTCTAAAACTTAACCAGTTGTGGCCTTCATGTGCATCCTACTCTGTTGCGTAAGGAAGCTTCGCTGGTGAGAACCAGGGGATGTACCATTATTCTCTCCACCCCTGTTCCACAATGTTCTGTGAGCCTTGGGTAAAGCGGTTCCACTGAAGATATGTCACCTAAGGGTGGGCATCTTATTCTCTAATTTTAAATAGGCTTTAATTTTTAGAACAAGGTTGATTTTTTATAGAATAATTGAGAGCATAGTACAGAGTAGTCCCCATATACCCTGTACCCAGTTTCACATTATCAACAGCGTACATTTGTTACAATTAATGAGCTATTATCATTTAACTGTGGTCTATGCTTTATTCATATTTCTTTAGTTTTTAACCAGGTGTGCATATTTTTTGTTTTAAGATTCCACACAAGCAATTATATCACATTTGGTTGTTACCTTAGGCTCTTGACTGTGACACTTTCTCAGACTTTTCTTGCTTTTGGAGACCATGACAGTTTTGAGGGTTCTGTATTGATCAGGTCTTTTGAGAATACATCGCAGTTGAGATTTGTCAGGTGTTTTGCTTATAGTTAGATTGGGGTTATGGATTCTTTTAGAGGAAGACCATAAAGATAAAGTGCCATTGATGTTCCCTTCCCATGATATCCAGAGCATGTGCTCTCAATACCGCTTATCACTATTAATGCTGACCTTGATCCACCTATCTGAGAAAGTGTTTGCCATGCTTCTGTGCTGTAAACCAACCTTTTGTCTTTATGCCTTTCTGAATTTTGGAAAGAAACCACTGTGCATACCACACTTAAGGAGAGGGAAATTATATTTCATTCTCCTGCATAAGCTATTTGAAATTCTTGGTCACATGAGATTTGTCTCCACTCCCCCAACTATTTTAGCATTTCTTTGTATCACTGTAGTCTTATGATTTTTTAAAATATTTTGGATCATAATGTAATACTGCTTATTTAGTTTGGTGTTTAATTCTTCTAGTTTGGTCATTGGGAGTACTTTCACTTGGCTCCTGTGCTATTTTTGCCATGTCCTCATCATCATGTTTTTTTTTTTTTTCATTTGAGTACTGCACTTTTTGGCACTGTAAGATGCTCCAAGCTTATTTTGTATAGTCCCTGACCTAGTTCTAGAATCAGCCATTTCTCTATGGGGCGGTAGTTTCCTTTGTCAAGAGACTGCTGCTAGAAATTCGGAGTCTGGTGCTAGATATATCCATTGCAGCTCAGATGTTCCTCTTTCCAGGCTCTCTTAGCTGTAATTCCATGGATATACTATCTATACATTTAGGCTTATGTATAAATATTTCAATGTATATGTTGCAGATAAAAAACATATATTTGGGAATGTTTTAAGTTAAAATTCAATTTGAATATGCTTCTAATTGTTTCTGGGGGCTATATTTGACTCAAAAATGTTCCTGCTGATCATTGTAATAGAAATGCCATTTTTGTCTTAAACTTCTTAGGAGACTATAACAAAATAGGGGTTCTGTGTGACCATAATTGGTTTTCACGATAATGGAAATCTTATAGGGTTCCAATTTTAGAAATTTTTGGGAAATCTTTTTAGGAGCATTAACAGTTACCATTTTCTTATCCCTTTGTATTTGATAGCTCTTTTACATATATGTGCATAAAGTCCTAAAATTAGAACCATTTTCAGTAAAAGATCATTTTTTATCCTCCAGTATCAGACACTTCTTGTTGCTGTTTTACATAAAAAATTCAGTCTAGACAGATACTCTTTGTTTCCAAAGAAAGATTTGTTTTAAATCTGCCTTTTAAGAGTTAAGACATTATCAGAATCTTACCATATAAGCCAGCAGGACAGGATTATTCTCTGGTTAAGGGCATAAACTTCACGTTCACATCCTAACTTTGTGTCTTACTAACACTGAGATTGCAGACTAATTATTCACTTCTCTGTGCTTCAGCTTTTCACACTTTTGAAGTATGAATATTATTACCTCTCTCAAGGGAGGGAATTAAATGAGCTAAAGGGTTGAGTACCTTGCCTAGTACATGGATAAGATTCAATAAATATTTAAAATCAAAACCTCCAAATCAGCAAGAAAAATGAATGAAAGTTCCAGAGCATTATACTAGTACTTGTTTGTCCAACACTTGACAGGACCAATCAAGAAAACTGTGTGAGTCTTAGCTGGGTACAATAATGCTCTCTTAGAATCCCCCAACTTGGGAGGTGGAGGTGGGAGCATTAATTCCAAGGCTTGCTTCTACATAGTGACTATGAGGCTAGAGGCTAGCCTGGGCTACATGAAAACTGCTGAGACACCAAGAGGTGGGAGCGGGGAGAGTGGTTCCATTGTTTTTGTAATCTTAAAAGTCCTCGCAAAATTTTCCTTCAAACTTAAGAGATGTTCACCTCACCTCAAGGTTACAGGATTATCAGCCAGGGTATTATTGCTTCTCTACGGGTTACTTGCTACTACTGAGCTATTTAGTAGGAGGGACTGGTGAGAATACCTTTCATATCCTGAGACAGTCTTGACATGAAAAAATATCGTGTCCCAGATTACAACATCAATGTTATAGTATGCCATTAGATATACTAAACTGATTCTTACTGTCTTTAGAACACATTTCAGATGCTGCAAATCCAGCAGGTATGGAAATTGGAAATAGGTGGAGCAAGGCCTGACCTCAGAATGTGTGGCTTCATCACTGATGAAGCATATCTTTGCATCAGCCACTTGTTGCTATAGTTGCTATAGTCTGATTTTGAAAATCTAGATGCCTCCATTTTTATGTAAAGTCATTCTGTTTTAAAATGCAGTCCCAACTTTTTCTTAAACACTGTGAGTACCAAACCTGGCAGATCTGTGGGCTGAATCCAGCCCACAGACCATTGGTTTGCAACCTCAGGTATAATTATTTTAGGAAGTAAGCTAAAGTTCTAGTTGATGTAGAACACTCTGAGCCATAATGGCATGATCCTGTGCCTTTGCTGAGCTCAAAAAATGTATAGAGAAGTAGGGCTGGAGTGATGGCTCAGAGGTTACAAGCATTGACTGCTCTTAGAGAGGATCTGGGTTTGATTCCCAACACCCACATGGCAGCTAACAACCATCCGTAACTAGAACTAGAGGATTCAACGCCCTCTTCAATGCCTCCATGGGCATTGCACGACAAGAGTGGACTTACATACATGCAGGAAATACACTTATACACATAAAAAAATAAAATATTAAGAAAAGTAGTACATATATAATCCCATAAGGAAAGTATGTTTTTATCAATTTAGATTCCTATTTGTTATGAACTTTTGGTCTAATAATCACCTTTTCAGATTTGGGTTATGTAAGTTGTTGGTTTCTGTTTGAAACATGCAAAATGCAGCTTCTCTAGCACCACTCCTTAATCACCTGACTACATTATACAAGATTTTTTGTCTCACTTCCCAGCCCTCCACCTCCCCACAGACCTGGAACTCCCTCTTTGGATGACAAACCAGTGATGGTTTGCTGTCTTTTTTTCTCAGCCACTGAAAGAAAGGCAGTCATCATTGAGAGTTTGTCCTGGGGATGTTAATACCTATCAGCAACAGTGGGAAAACCACAGGCTTTGGACAAGGAAGGCTCAGATTGGAGTTATGATTTTGCCATATGTTTATTCTCTGAATTCATATTCTAGTTTGTGAAATGAATATAATTATAGTTACCTTTGAAGGATAGTTGTTTGGTACCTGGGAGCTAATAGCAGTGATAAATGTAAGGAGAAGTTTATGCTGAACTGCATGAATGGAGCCTGTGCGCTGCCACTTGAAATACTTCTGCTTCACTCTTCTTTTTCCTTCTTGCTCAAAAAACACAACTTCATTGGCTTTGTATTTGAAAGACTTCTAACTAGGATTGGTAAATGAAAAACAAAAGTATTTTTCTTGAGCCACGATGAGATTGCTTCGGAAATTCTTTGTTAAAATTTTAATTAAGTAGTCATGTGTTGTTTTGAATATGGTCAGTCTCCCAAGTGTTGAGGGGTCATTTCCTGGTAGGAAAGCTGTTACCATT